CAGCCCCTCCCTGGCGCCAATAAGGCAGCTGTTGAGACGCATGCACCAATCCTTCTGGTACCCCGCCCCTGCCGTGTCCCTGTGGTGCCTCCCACCCCTTTGCCCCGCCCACGGGGCCCTGGGCACAGCAAGTCCCAAAGGTACCCAGGGGGACAGGGCATTAAGCCCTGGGTGAAGGGCGGGGGGGTGGGTCATGGTTGATGAGTGAGGAGCCCTGGTCCCTCCTGGCACTCGCCCCCTCGTCCCGTCCCCCCACTCCAGTCCTGGCTCCAACACACCAGCCCCACAGGACCCAGGCGTCTGGCCTCCCAATCCCCTGGCTCCAACACCCCAAACATGATAGCACCCAGGCCCAAGCCACTCCTGGTTCAAATACCCTAGCCATGATGGGACCCAGGGGTCCACACCTGCAGCCTCCCCCGCTTAGCCCCTCCCAAGCCCCCACTCCCCTGCAAAACCTAGGAGATAACCCAGGCATCTGGGCTCCCCCTGAGGTCCCAGGCTGCGCTACTGGGTGCAACGTAGATCCCTTGGGTCAAAGCAGAACCCCCCCAACACCACCAGCTCCGGGGCGCCGGGGAGCAGTGGCTGGTGAAAGGGCGGGGGGGAGGAAGCTCCACCAGCTGTGCAGACTGTCTTGCCCTGCGGTAACCCTGCGGCCGGGATCATGCACACACCCACGCACACGTGTGTGCAGCTGGGCCGCGTCCCGCCCGCTCTGCAACACGGAGCCTCAGCATAGGGTCACAGCAACCTCTGGCAGTGCAGAGGTGCAGCAGAGCCAGGGGGGAAACCCCCACGTCCAGGCTCCCAGCCTGCCCTGCTCCTCTCCCAGAGCCTGTAGACAACCCAGGCATCTGGGCTTCCAGCCCCCCCCCCCCAACCGGTGGCAAGGGTTTTCCCAGCAGGCTTGATGCTAGCAGCAGTGCTTCAGGACAGAGCCAGGGTTGTGGGGGCTGTGGTTGATGACTGACTGGCCCCCGCTTCTGCCCCAGCCCCCATGCACTCACCCCGCACTGCCCTGTCCCGTCCAGCCCCGAGCACCCAGGCCTGGCACCGCCACCATCGAGCTCCATACGGCCATCCTGGCACTGGCCCTGGAGTGGGACCACCGCACTGGGCACTACATGGGGCACAGGATGGGATGGTCCAGCAAACCCCATGGACCAGGGACAGCGGTGTGGGGACCCAGGCGTCTTCATGCTCTGACCTCCCAGAGCACCCAGGCATCCGGGCTTCCATCCCTGCACTGATGGCATCTCCCCGCCCCACAGGCTCCCAGGCTGCCCCAGTTGCCCTACGAGCCCTCAGTGACCTCCTCATGGAGGCTGTGCAGATGGTGCACGGCGCTAAGCTGTGGCTCGAGGCATCAGAGCTGCACTGGGGGCTCAGCTGGGTCCCTGGATTAGGTCCTCTGCCCCCTGGAGGGGAGAGGCCCCCAACCCCTGGCTCCCCCCATCCATGGCATGGGTCAAGGACGTTTCCAAGCTGCTGCAGAGCTCAAGCAGGAGCGCCCCAAGCTGCAGCAGGTGCTGAGGCAGGTTGTCAGGGGCATCCTGGGTCTGCTGAGGCTGGCACTGAAGGTGATGGGCCCCTACCTGGAGGCAGCTGCAGTGCAAACAGTGCTGGAGCAGGCCCTGGAGCAGGTGGAGACACGGGCTGGACCTGCCCAGGGCGCTGCAGGCAGGCACCAAGCGGGTGCTGGAGCTGACAGGGCTCACACCCTGCCTCAGCACCGCTGCTGAGATGCACTAGCCGTGTCCCTGCAGCACCTCCCACCCCATCCCCGCCCAAAAGCAGGGCCTCAGGGGAGCAAGCCCGGAGAGAACTCATGGGTCCAAAACAGGGCACTAGGCCCTGGGCCAAGGGAGGGGGGATGGTTAATGAGTGATGAGGCTGGGCCTGTCCTCACCCTCGCCCGTCCCAGGGCAGCGCGGAGGCAGCACCGCCATGGAGCTCCGCACGGCCACCCTGGTGCTGGCGCTGGCTCTGCTCAGCCTGGCAGGTAAGTGGCCTTTGCCCAGACCCCCCTGCCCTCCCAGCCCTGGGGGACCCAGGCATCTGGGCTCCCACTGTCCCCTGCTCTCATTCTCCAGTCCCCACTGCCCTCTAACAACCCAGGTATGCAGGACCCCAGCCCCCTGCTCCAACCCCACTCCCCTCACGAGCAGGGAAAAAACCCAGGCATCTGGGCCCCCAGGGGTCCGGTCGGCAGGACCCAAGCCTCACCTCAGCTCCCCCCCGCAGGCACCAGAGCTGCCCTGGCTCCAGCCCAAGCCCCACGTCTGCACCGGCTACGCGACGCGGCCTGGGGGGCTGTGGCCAGGGCGGGGGCCGCACTGAAGGAGGCCGAGCGGATGCTGGAGATGTCCCCGCTGGGCCAGGGCCTGCCCGCACGGCCACCCCTGGATGCAGCACTGGCCAGGCTGGAGGCTGCACTGCCCAAGGCGCAGCAGGCATATGAGGCAGCTGAGGCAGCAGCAGCCGAGGTGCTGGAGGTGCCACGCCAGGCGCTGGAGCAGGCGCTGGAGCCACTGCGGCACAGGGGTGAGGTGCAGGGGTCAGCGCTGGTGCAAGGCCTGCGTGAGGCGCTGGAGCCGACCGTGGAGCAGGTGCTAGAGCAGGTGGATGGGCTAGGCCTGGACCTGGCCGCAGTGCTGGAGGCGCTGGGGGAGCAGCTGGCAGCACTGGGCCCGGGGCCCTGAGCCGCACCACCCCCTCCCCACTCACCTGGTCCCTGTGACTCCAATAAAAGCAGCTGTGGGACAATGACCCCATGCAGCCTCCTTACATCCCACAGCACCCCGCCCCTCAGTACAATTCAGACCCCCCACCCCATTGAGCCCTGGTATGTCCTCACGCACCCCCGAGACAAGGGGAGATCCTGGCCAGTCCGGCGCCCCCAACCCACAAGCAACCACAACCACCAGCCCCTGAGACCCAGGCATCCAGGCCCCCAGCATCCTCCAAGCTTGAACCCACCAGCCCCACAGACCCCAGACAGCCAGGCTCCCAGCAGCCCCTGGCTCCAACACACCAGCCCTGATGGGACCCAAGTGTCTGAGCTCCCAGCACGCCACAGGCTTGCTCTGGCCAGTCCCCACAGCACCCAGGCTCAAACAGCCCAGAAATGACAGGACCCTGGTGTCCAGGCCTGCAGCCTCCCCTGCTTGACCCCTACCAACCCCCCCGCAGCCCCCCCAAAAGCTAGATGAGAACCCAGGCATCTGCCCCCCACCCCAAACTCCCAGGCAGCACTGCTGCAGGTAAAGCAGAGTCCCTCCAGGTGCTGTCATGGGGGAGCAGGGAGCTGCGCCAGCCAGGCCTTGCCCTGCAGTAACCCTGCAGCAACGCTCACGCACCCACAGCCAAGGGGGGAGTCCAGGCGTCAGGACTGCCCCCACCATCCCGGCCCCACTTCCCCTTTCAGACTGCAAGTTGCACAATGGCTTGGGGGGGCACCGGATGGCACTGAGACAGCTGCTCCCCACAACGTGAATCCAGCCTGGGCAGCCACCAGCTGAGCGCAGCACCAGCCCCAAGGCCCACCTGCCTGGGTTCTCTGCGGGGGCGGGGAAGCTGAGACCAGACGGGCTGGGGCTCTGTCCTACGTGGCTCCGAGCCCCTCCTCAGGGGCAAGAGCCCCTCTGCCCCCGAGGCGGGACCCAACTGCATGCGCAGCCCAGAGCTGCCCAGACAGGACAGGGATCCTGGTATTTCCCCGCTGCAAGGCAGACAGATAGCAGCGCCAGAGGCGCGGGTGATTTATTAGGACGCGCGTGACACAGGTGCACACACGTGTGCGGCACCAACATGGGGGGCATCGTGTACAAGACCCTCAGTCCCATAACTTATGCACATGATTCACAGCAGTCCCAGGCTCTGCTCACAGGGGCCAGGCAGGACCCCTGGGCCTGAGCTCTTGCGGTGCTGTTGTGGGGGTCATGGCCTGGCTCCCCCCAGAGGCATCTCCTGGTGCGGCCTCAGGGCCCATTCACGTCTCCTCCCGCCCCTGGAGTCCCCCCGGAGGTCCTGGCCCGCTCCCTCGGCTCAGCTCAGGGACGGACCACACCACAGACGGTTCCTGAGGCCGCGGCGCCCCCTGGCGGGGAAAGGGGGGAGCACAGGGAAGGTGGGGCTGGGTCCAGCAGCCCCCAGGCCAAGGGAAGACAGGCGATGGGGCTCCGATGCCTGGGTCCCGCCGGCCGGGGGGGGCGAGGAGCAGGAACGGGGGCTCTAACCGATGGTAAGGCCAAAGCCACACTGGAACTTGCTCTTGCGGTGGTTGAGGAAGGCGCCCATGGCCAGCGTTAGCGGCAGCGGCAGCAGCTTTTTCTCCAGCACCGCACCCACGATCCAGTTGCTGTCCACAGAGCCTGCAGGGGCAAGGGGCAGTGAGGTTGGGAGTCACGGCTGGAGAAGTGGGGGTCAAGGGGTCACACTAGGGAGGATTGGGGGGCTGTACCTCTAAAGAGCAAGTTGGCCTTGGGCAGGTCCAGCTGGTACCCAAACGCCACACTGGTGTCCTGCATGCGCGTGCTGGCCTCGAACTCCACCCCAACCTGTAGCTGGGGGCGGAAGGTAAAGGTCAGCAGAGCCCAGGCCACCCCACAGCTAAAAATGCCACCCAGGAAGCCATGCTGGGCTGGGGCCCCCGGATCAACCCCCTTCCCCTCCACTCCTATCACCAAGCGGTAACGATTTTGTTCAGGTGTGTGACCTGCTCCCCGCCCCGCAGGGTGCGATGGGAAGCCAGGTGTCTGGGCAGCGCCTACCTGGTCGTTGGCTTTGTGGTAGTAGGTTGCATGAGCTCCAGCCTGCCCCACCGTCAGGGTCCCGATCCAGTTCGGCGCTAGGAGCAGGGGACAGGTCCGGCTGAGCCCAGGGTGGGAACCCAGGTGTCCTAGGCCCACCCCATCCTGCTAGACCCCACCAGCCCCGAGAGAACCCAGATGTCCTGGGCCCCGGCCCCAGGAGACCCCACACGTCCTGGCTTCCAGCCCCACCTTGCTTCAACCCCCCCAGCCCCAAGTGAACCCGGGTGTCCTGACTTTGAACCCCCTGATACCAAGAGAGCCCAAGCATCCTGGCACCCAGCTCCCCCATCCCCAAGAGACCCCAGGCATCTGAGCTCCCAGGCCACGCTGTGGCACCCCAGCGCCCCCACCCCCAGGAGAAGGGAACGCAGACATGTGGCTGTACCCGTGTACTTCCCAGCCAGCGACGTGACGGTGCCCTCCTCGCCGGGGCGGCGGTGGTAGACCAGCTCCCCACCCAGCGCCAGGCCGGGTGTCACGCTCTGCAGGTAGTGCGCCACCAGGATACCTACAGGGAGACGCCATTAGGGAGGCTGACTGGGGGGCAGGGGGGCCCAATTGAGATGAAGGGGGGATGCGGCCTCACCGGAGCCCACCAGCACGTCGGGGTTTCCGAGCGTCACGGCGGCCGTGAAGTCAGCGCCGCGAAACTCGCCGTCTACCTGCCAGTTCACGAACTTTGACTGCTGCGTCTGCAACAGGGGAGGGGGTCAGGGCAGCCCGGGACCCCCCAGAGCAGGGTCCAAACTGCTTCCCCCCACCGCAGCAGAGCAGGGCCCAGGCATCCGGGCCCCGGGGCACACCTGAAAGGCCAGCTTGGAGCGCAGACGCGGCGAAAGCTGGTGGATGACCTGTGCGTTGAGGCTCCCACTGTTGTCCATGTCGCCCACGAGCACCGGGAAAGCCTGGGGGGGACAGCGGCAGTGACCCTCCGCCCCAGACCGCCCCCACTCCCCGCCCCCGCC